ATAGATAGATAGATAGATAGATAGATAGATAGATAGATAGATAGATAGATAGATAGATAGATAGATAGATAGATAGATAGATAGATAAAAAGTGTGATGTGGCTCCTTGTTCTGTCCCTGTCGCAGCAACAAACAAGTGGCCGTTCCAAATGCCACCAGCGTTTTCCTCCTTTGACCTTCTGTTCTGAGCGTCAGACAACATGGAATTACAAACATGGCCGCCTCCCCGGAGCGACACCGTCGTGAGCTCAAACACAACAGCTACTCCAGAAAGGACATTATGCATCCACCCCGTTGTACTTTATTTATACATGAAAACATATTTTATATTTGGCCTCATACATCCTTTTTATCACTCTTATTGTAAATAGCTACACAGAATGTTTCCGTAATTTATATTTGTTAAGTCATATCTTCAGTCTGCAAAGGCTGCCTAAGACTATGACCCCCGCACACGAAGAGGGGTCAACACGTTAGGGCYGCACTGATCAAGATAAAATTTGCCATGAATGTAGATGTGACTGACGCACACTGYACCAGCAAATGGTTTTACAATAGACCCCATATTTGCGGAGGGGGCTCCAGGGGGTGTCTGAACTAACAAAAACGCTTATAACTCAAAAAGTATTCAACATTAGAGCTTCAGATTTTTGTTGTTATTTAGCTCTGATGAAGGGCTATCCATTGGACCCATCAATGAGAACCCCCCACCAAAAAAAAAAAAAATAAATAAATGAACAATAAATCTGTTCAGATTAGTTTTGAGTTCTGGTGCTTTGTGCATGTGCAGGGTGTCATATTTATCACTATGCAGAATAGTTTTTTTTTAAATGTTTTCAGACTTTTGGTCCATTTGTGCCTACATGTGCCAACAGAAAGTCATGTTAATTGTTTCAATCAGCCTGCAGTAATACCTGCATGCATTAACAACATCTGCTTTTACAGGAACACTGATGTGCAGATGTGCTGTTAATCGAAGCGTCAGAGGTCAGGCACTGTTTCAGCCACAGGTTTTAAAGGAGAGATGTCACCAACAATGAGTAACAGCAGAAATAAGCTTTTTTAATTTAAATCTGTTGCAAACCTGCCACAAAGCAGACTCTCCACAGGCCGGAATGCAGCGCCATCTTGACCTCAGTGGTCTGGTTCTGCTGCAGGACGATCCCTTCCTCCATGAGCAGCCAGTAATCCGTGGACACGGCCACGCCGACCAACAGCAAACCGCAGGCCCCGAAAACTGAGGAGAGCAGCGTCAGAGCCCGAGTACTGAACGAACTCATCTGAGGAGACAAGAATCAACCAGAACTCTGATCAGTATTTCAGCTGGAGCATGTGTGCAGGATGAGTTTTATTTTTTTATTTTCAAACTCTTTGAAAAACAATGTCTTCTTTAAATTAAGCAAATCAAGAAACAGGAAACTGAGTTAAAATATTGAGCCACGTTTAGTTTATAAATTGTATTTTTTGGCTTCCAGGAAGCTGGATTTTTATTCAGTTACACTTTTTATTTTGGTGTGTTTAATTTTTTGTATCTTTATTTCACAATAAAACTTTCATAAAATAAGTAGAGAAAAATAAAATGAAACAAAAAAGAATAGTAAGTGTCATAATTATATTACAAAAAAATGTGAAGGAGAATTGTCAAAAAACCCTGAAGGGGCTTAACACATGGCAATCTTCAAAAAAGAAATAATAAAAATTACATAAATTAAAAAATCCATACATTACAAAAAATAAAACACTACTCTATATAAACAGCAAAAAATGCTCTGAATAATCAAACCCATAAGGGAAACAACTCAAGAGTAACAATCTGATTCTTCGCTTAAAAATCTCTTTGGAAACTGAGATCCTGCTGTTCCATATCTTTGACCCTCTGTATAAAGCACTTTATATTTACATTTTACACATTTTAGTCCAGTCCTTGTACCTGGACTCTTTTCATGAGTTCTACCAAAATGTTCAGGAAAACTGGACAAAAGTGCAAACTCATTTATAAACAAGTAAACTCATTCCTCATGTTTGCAAGAACATCTGCTTTATTTGAAATAAGAGAAAATAAGAACTCACACACATTTTCTGCACAAAGCTGTGCACTTTGTTTTGGTTACACACTGTTTTAAATCTCTGTGAGATATTTAGTTTCATAACTGTTCTCACAACCTTCTGCGAATTAACAACTAATGTGATTGAAAATCCCACTGTGAGCATCTAATGAGCATTTCTAAAAGCAGCGGGCAGGACGAGCTCGTCAGGCTTCCAGGTAGCACGCAGTGTCGTTTGTCACTCACTAGGTGGCAGAAAAGCTGTCTCCTTCTCTGTCATGCATCACTGCAACTATTCACGCTCTGAGACACATCCTCGTCTCACAACACACAAACACAGCTTCTCTCTCATGCAGTCAAAATGGAGGTCCCACCATGCTGTGAACTCTGCTGATGAAACAGATGTGATGCATAAAGCAATCCAAAACCCTAACCATTGACCTAAAATAATAATATTCTGCTCCGTTGACTCACAGGAGCGAAACGGATTTTTACAAGAACAAGTTTCAGTGGAACCAATTTTTATGTCCTTCATTTAAAAGGACACACAAATAAAAAGACATTAAAACGGGAAACCTTGTGCTGCTCTGTGTGAATTTAATTGACAGGCCACCTGCGGCTCAGCTCTGCATACCTGCAGCAGCAAATAGTGCAAACTATTAAAACCAAATCAGAGTAAATCATGTTGCTACTATTCAGTGGGACATGTCATTTGCTTCATGTGCAATAAAAATACCCATGTTCTTAACATATAAGATAATAATGCATTGAAATATTTGAGCTAATATCTTTAACACGTAAAAAGGAGGTATGGTTAGGCTAACACTGAGGTGTGCCCTAGCTTATGCACACACACACACACACACACACACACACACACACACACACACACACACACAC